AGCCTGGCAACAGCATGATGTACAAGAACTCTGTCGAGTGATGTTTGATGCTTTGGAAAGCAAGTTCAAAAATACTGATCAGGTAAATGTTATGTGTCACACCAATTGTATGCAAGAAAGGAGTAAGGCAAAAGTTACATATTATTTTCTAAAGTGTACAAAAAACATGTATGTTAAGGCCTGAGTCGTGTAGTGGAGCACTGTGTCATTCTGGTCACCAATAGATCAGATGACAGAAGATGCTTTGGTCTACCATTGGTTCTTCAATCAAAGTGTGAGATCAGTTTTTTAGTCAAGGTGGCTGTGAAACAACCACAGCACATGTACTAAATCTCTAGACAGGAACAATATAAACACGAGCATTAAAACAAATGTTGTTTTTTTTTACTGTCAGTAACTGATAATCTGTTTTGTGGTGTACAGGATGATCTCATCAACAAACTGTATCAAGGAAAACTCAAGGACTATGTGAAATGTGAACAGGTATACATTGTAAACTCACTATCAGCTTTACTATGGTAGTCTTGGAGAGTCTCATTTTAACAATAACAATATGTGGTCTGTGTGCACCCAAGTCAAATTGCAGTTTCTGCTCAAGGCAACCTCAGAGTTCTTACTAGTCTACAATCAACTAGTACACTTACTAAGTTATTCCATCCTGGAAAAGTAGAAACACATTAAGCCATGTTTCAAATGAGGAATAATCACCAGCCTCTCAGACTCAACCCAGTAGCCTTTACAAGGTACATTCGCTCTAGGTTTTTGCATGTAACAAATACTATTTTTTTATTTCTGTTTTCTTAGTGTGGTAGTGAAAGTGCACGAACAGACACTTTTTTAGACATTCCACTGGCGATCAGACCTTTTGGATCAAAACAAGCCTTAGGCAGTGTGGTGAGTTGTGTGCCAGAGTTTCTCCTACTCCTGTTGATCCAATTACTATTAAATAGAACTTTGCTAAATTACATGTATGTGTAGTTTATCATTATATGGAGTACTTAAATAAGGTGAATTAATTATTAATTAACTTAATTTTAAGTTACAAATCTACCACAAAAACCCACAAAAAGAGTTTTCGCCATTGTGTGAACAGGTATTTACCAGTTTTAATTTAACCAGTAGTTATATTGTTAATGAAACACTTAATTTACTGACAATAAAATGATGTTGAAAAAGGCATTATTAAACAATTATAAAATAATATATTAAGTTAATTATAACAAAAGTAATTGCCATGTATTTTTCCTTTCCATGTACTTTATTTTATATCCTTAGGAAACATCTTTGGAAAATTTTGTTGCTGCCGAACTCCTAGAAGGTGCAAATCAGGTATAGGACATGATTGTGTTTTTCAGATTCCAGATTTTGTTTTTAAATGGCAAAGCCATAATTTAGCTTTTTCCTTTGTTTACAGTATTTTTGTGAGAAGTGCAATGGAAAATGTGATGCACACAAGGCAAGTGTTTTCTCATGTACCATACTTAAATAGACTTGTAGTCACAAGACTTAGTAAGCCTGCAATCTTTCTATCTATAAGTCTAAGTTTTATCTCCCTATAATTTTCTTCCCACATTCTTTTGTCTGATTGTACAAATCTGTTTGTTTTAGTGCTATAAGTTTTGTTTGTAAATATTTAACACTTGACCTTCTTTGTACGTTTTTATCAGTGACCATAGAATGAGTACTCTTTATATTAACTAGTTAGAGTATTTAATTTAATTTTAAGCATTCATGGTTTGAATGTCTCAACTATAAAGCTGATTTTGATATCCCCTTTCCATTTCTGCTGTGAGTGGTTGTTCAGGCTTATTGTCTTTGTAAGGTTCAGAAAGCTCAATGCTTATTGCATATGAAACATGATAAATGTACATTAGCAGGTGAACTTCTTGCTGTGTTCATGTACTTCTAAATGATCGTGTTACTAACACTGCCATTGATGGTTATCTACAGGGGTTGAAATTCATCTCCTTTCCTTATCTCTTAACATTACAACTGAAGCGGTTTGCATTTGACTATGCAACACTCCACAGAGTGAAACTAAATGACAGGTTAGTGTTTGTTGTTAAAAACAAGTTTTATCAGTTATAAATAATGTCTTCAATTTGTTTGTTGCTGGTAATTNAGAATTAGAAATAAGTGATGCCATAATTTTTAAATCCAGTTTTTTGTTTTTTCATTTTCCTATCTCTTGTATGCATAATCATGAACTGGAACAAAGGAAAATAAACGTCAGTTTCTGGTGTAAAGTATTTGGAACCAAAATATCAAATAAACCCTTTGGTCAAATTCTAACATTGACTGTGTTGTATTTTGTGCTAGGGTCCATATTGTTACGAGTTGTTCTCAATAATGATTCACTCAGGCAGTGCATCTGGCGGGCATTATTATGCTTACATCAAGTAAGTTAAACAAAGTAAAGAATGCAAAATGTTTGGAAATGGTATGCAATGATTTTGATTGTGGAAATTACTTATAATGTAATCTTATGTTACATTTGTCTTGAATGTGTTACTTGTAGTCAAGATTGGTTTATAAACAATCAGGAAATCTGGACATAGGGTAAATATTTCTGATTACAGTGTACAGAAATTTCCATATGTGGAAAATGTGGAAAACAAGTAAACAAAAAACAAAGATGTTGTTGTGGTTAACATCTACACTGTAGTCAGAAAAAGTACACTTTATTTCAAACTATACACAATTTGGACAACCAAATGTCATTTTCTGGTAGTATGATTTTGCGCTTTATGTAGGCTCTGAAACAGAAAACAAAATTTACTGGTTAGAAACTCTTCAATTTAAAAAGAAAAATTCACATGCACATGTATGTGTGAATCCCATGCTCAACCTATTATTTTCTTAATTTTGTTCTTGTTGTTGCTGAGTTTTGTTTTTGTTTTTGTTTTCACACTTTTTAATCAATCCAAATAATGAATTAATGTGGACACTTTTTAATTTTCTGTCATCATTGTCTAGATCCTTTACAAATGGTCAGTGGTATTGCTTTAATGACCAAAGTGTGACCAGGGTGAGTATGATTACTGTATCCTTACAGCTGCAATTTAACTCATGTTTCAAATATAGCTAAATATAGGTCGCAAAGAGTTTTAATATTCATACTGCCAGGCCATCTTTATGACACAAATTAACATCAGTGACCTTCCAACTTCTTTTCCTTTTATTTGGATGTGACTCATAAGGCATATGATGAGGATATTGAGCGTACTTTTGGCGGACTTGAGTCTTCAAGAAGCTACTACTCGTCAGTATACTCAAGGTGAGTTCATTTACATGTAACTCACAGTTAAAGTGTAGAGGACTTCATGGAAAGCTGCCTTCAAATTCTTAAAAGTAAATGTAATGTTTGATGATATTTGCAGCTCTACAAATGCTTACATGTTGATGTACAGACAAGTCAATTCAGAGAGAAATGCAAAATTCTTAGATCAATGTGACATGCCCAGACACATAGTGGAACTAATGTACAAGCTGAGACAGCAAGAGGAGATGGAAAGAAGAAGAAAAGAAATGGACAGGTGCATGTGCAAGGTAAGAGTGGTGAAATCTACATCTAGGCTTTTATGCTGGCTGGGGTCATTGTTATGTTCAATTGCTTCATGCTACCATTGACAGGTTTAAGCCAGGTTTTAAAGGCTCCAGCTCTTATGCCTGAACATTGTAAGACATGCTATACCCCTCCCCTCTCTCTGCTTGAGCAAGGAAAGGCTCAGCTTCAATCTTCACCCCTCTTCTTTTTGCAACCAAGAATAGGCCTGTAATTTCTTTACCCTTTTCTTCGAGCCCCTTTTGATTTACTCATAGAAGCATGTACTAAATGTGAAGTGCCAGAAGTGATGGACCTGCCGAGCTGGGAACATCTTTAATTTACTTAGCTACACTGTATCTAGCCTAAGATATAGTAAAAAAAAATACTGGTATCTTAATAATGAGTTGGCAAAAGAGATTGGGTTTACAGTGCCTTGGAAAATTGATGCATCTATTATAATAAGTAATAGTAATAGGACTGAGTGGAGTCCAATTCAGTCNTATATGTTTAATTTGGAAGAGTTTTAGTTGTTTGTGAAGTCTGGCCACTGTAACCTGGACTACTCAGAAGTGATCAACTATCATTATTTTAACAAATATAATAATGTACAGCAGTCAATACTATTCTGTTGAAAGTCCTTGGGACATGTCATTACATGTAATTTAAGAATGTCTGTTAGGGAGCATATTATTTCTTACTGACGTAGACCCTAGTGTGCTATTGTCATCATTGTACACCAGATACAAAACTTGTCTTCAGTAACAATTTATTATATTTATCAAGTTTGCTTGATTTTCTCTAGATTAAGATTTTTTGTGAGCATCCCCTCACCAAACGATGGATGGAACAAAAATTAGAAATTCACAAGGATGAAACTTTGAAAGAGGCCATAACCATTGCTCATAAGGTGAAAGGCAGGAATTACTGGACAGTTTTATTCAACTTCCCTTTTTACTTTGTTAACCTGTATCCTGTTTTTCATTAGTACAAAGTTTAGTTTACAGCAAACCTGAATATCTAATGCTGTCTTGCAAAATGAGTTTTTCAAGCAAGCGCAAAATACCTGACAATGCCATTTGATTGTGAGGAGAGTCTATCAACTACAAAGTGAAATACTGAGCAATCTTTAATATTTGATGTGGTATTTCATTTGTGCTGGTTTAATATAAACAATACAAGGTACTAATAGGAAGACTGGTAAATTGTTTCTTGAATAGCTCTTCCACTTAGAGATGGTGGTAACTCCAGAACAGTGCAGAATTGTTAAGTATGATGAGTACTATGACTACATCGAGAGATCATTTGATGGGGAAGAGGTGAGCGACCTTACAGGAATGTTTACACAGCCATTGCTGCTCGAGAACATTTTAGGTTAAATTTGTGAATTCATACATCATTTTGACAATGTTCTGGCCACAGTTTTTCAAAAGGTAGATAACACTATCCACTGGATGTGTGGACAAAACAAACCATGCTATCCACTGGACAGTGATTTATCCAGTTGATAGCTTTATCCACCTTTCAAACAACCTGGGCCTGATCCATAGGTTCCATTTGATTGAACCAATGGAGATTAATGATGTTTGGGGGAGACAACAACATATCAATTTTCATTTTTGTTATCATTATCATTATTGTTATCATTATCATTATCATCATTATTATTAATGGTAAACTGACAAAATGCAAAAAATTACAAAAGCAATGTGCTTCAATACCTACATGTATATGTTTACCATGGAAGACTTAATTACTGACATCAACTACTATGAAAATCATGGACTCCGATTTTGTTTTTTGTCCCATGCTTTTGACAGCTAACATTGATAACATCTTCTTGAGCTGCTTCTTAGTTGCTTGATTGTTGACAAAGAAAGGAAAATGAAGCCTGTGAAAAATATTGCAATAATTAATCTGGATATTACTAGTCAACTTCTTTTGTTGTCAATTTCAGAATGATCCGATGGGAAGAGTACTCGGTCATGTTAAACAGTCTTATATGTTCGACCTTCTTCTTGAAACAAGAATGCCACATGAAAGGTTTTTCCCTTACAAACCAGGAGGTAAGTTAGTTAGATTTAGATTTTGTTTCAAGCTCTTATTAAATAATTGCTTCTGTCATACTGTGTTTCTGGCATTATGAAAATTGCTAACACTCGGAAGAGGAAACCCTCACATAATAATTCAATAATGATAATTATAACAACAACAACAACAACAACAACAACAGCAACAACAACAATAGTAGTAGTAATAATAACTTTATGGTGATGAAGTTCTCTTATCTCCTTATCTCTGTGAACAAGCTGCATTACAATCACATGCACACAATCGATGCATGTTTTCCTTCCTTTACATTGACCAAGAGGCAACCATGTGACCTGCAAATAACTGCCTACAAATAATGGTCTGGTCCTACGTAATACACTCTAAATGTGTTTTGCTGCAAGTAATATTCTGCTAATATGTAACTGTAACCACAATCTTGTGTTAAAAATGGCAGATCGCTTCAAATGAGCTGCAAGAGAGTAATTTACATGTAAATATGAAAAAAAATTGGTGATCGAATGATGAAACAATTATTGAACTCGGTTATCACAAAATATCTTGATTTGTCAGTGTCTCGCAAATCTATTATTTGTTTCGGCTTTGGCAAATAACTGATCTGCTCGCTACTGACAAATCATGATATTTTGCTCAACCTCATCCAATAATGGTCACACTCTTTTGTTTCCATAGGAACAACAGTAAAAGTTCATTTGGTAGATCTTGAAAATGAGAGGGTTGCTCCATATGTAAATGTGCGACCATTACTCAGTTCATCTGTAAGAGATCTAAAAAATCTAATTCATGAGGTAAGGAAATTGTTGTTTACTATTGACTGGACTGGTCTATGTTTCCGTTTTACAATATACACCTCCCAGATGAACCTAAATCACAATCTGATCTCACTCAAAAGGTAGCCATGCAAGGAGACCATTTTCCACACATGTATTTGAAAATTAATTAATTATTGCTTTTTAATTAGTTTACTGGTTAAGTTGTTAGTTTGCAACTTGCATCCTGTCAGTTCCAATATATCCTAAAACAGACTTCACATGTAGATCTTACTAGTCAAAATGTTTGTGGGATTAAACACACAGTTAGGTGTATGTAGTAATTTTCAAGTTCAGACTTGCATCTATGTGTCATCTGCAACATTTTGTACTAATACGGTAAAAGACTGAGAAGTTGAAGAGGATCATTTTCGGAAACAAGTTTATTGTTATTATTGATGAGTTAATATTTACTCTCTAGAAATTTAGCCTTCCTTTGGTTTCTATGAGAGTTGTGTTTGACGGAGCATATGGTGATCTTAAGCTGCTGGACAGCCCCAACAAAGTGCTAAAAGAACTTGGATTCTTCAAAAACAACAGGGTAATTGACAACATTTATATGTTTGAGAGAAGAAAATTGATTCTTGATTTATGTTTCTTTCCTTTTCATCACATTAGTACATTCTGTGTCAGTTGATCAATGCATGAGTAATGTTTCATTAGCATGTTGGCCAATGCACCAGTAGTGTGTTACCCAACATGCTGGTGGCGTGTCATCTGACATTTTCATAAACTCGTGGGCTGACTTTTTGGTGCAATCAAATTTTTTTACCTACATGTATACTGAAAACGTCTTGTCTACCACTAGGTTTTTGTGGAAGCTTCAAACAAGGAGGAAGATTTGTTATTTAAAGACTCAAGACTGTTTAAAGTCTTGGATGTGTATCAGCACACCATTCAACTACTTGTCATGTTACCAGATCCATCCAGAAAGCCCTCAGGTGAGTTGGGCCTACAAAACACATACATGTATCTAACAAGCTTGAGATTTCAATTAATTAATTGCGACTAGATAGAGTTTATCAGGTTGACGTGAAATTAACTTTCACCTCATGGAAATAAAGAGCAAATAATCCAAGCATTTTCTTTTAGTACAATTAGAACTGACTAAATTTCCTTCAAATAATGATTATTTTTCTTACAGCATTAAACTTAGTCTAGATAGTGATGTACATGCTTTAGCAAACTCAGACATGCAGAATTAATTGTCATTTAAAACCTGCAGTTGTCACATGTGGTCATCTGTTTATTCCAACAATTTCAAGTTTTTGAAGTCAAGTAATGCTGAAGATCCTTCTGTTAGTCTACCCAGGAATTTCATTATAAGTATAGATCCAGTCATGTTTCTTAATGTTGCTCCAAAACTTTGGAAAAATGCAAAAATGTCACCATTTTGTAGATGACCCCCAGCCATTGCACACTAATGGCTGATAGTGCGTGATATCTCAGCCAATCAGATAACAAATTATTGTTTGCAACATTTACTTTAGTGTAAACTTTGAATTCTACTCCTCTTCAAATTAATCATATCACAGAGAGGGGATTAAGTGGGTACGTGGGCAGTATGATTTTGACTAGGGATAGACTGAAAAAAAAAAATAGAAGAACACAAACCGCTTAAATTGAAATCAAAAATTAACTGAGATCAGACCTGAACTACTAACACCATAAATCATTCCATGAGTAAGTTACTCCTTTTTGCTTATTTCTGTATTATGTTGTAGAAAATAGTAACATGATAGAAGTTATACCATCTAATAAGTAAAACTATTCCTTTTAGAGCATACAAGTAGGTACATCTGTGAGGCTGCAGTTGATTCTGAAAAGATTGAAAAACAAAGAGGTGAGACATCTGAAGACTGAGTTAACTTAAGTGTAGTTTTCTGCAGGCTGCATCAAGATAGATAGACAATTTCAAGTACTTTTACCCTGTAACAGTACAGTCTTAATTTGATTATATAGCCTATCAAATGGAATAACTGAAGTTCAAACCATCACCACCCAGTGTGACTCTGTTTATAGCTAGATGTTCAGTAATAACTGGTGATGCCATCAAGGAACTGATAACATAGGACTACTTATTGTCTGTTTCAGCAGTGCATTAACTGGAATAGCTATTATTACAGTTGAGCCTGCGCTCAAATATTCATTTGTTTAAAAAGGCATGCAAATGATGTGAAAGGGTCAATACAAAGCAGAATTAACCCTTTTGCCTCATTTGTATGTCAAACTGCTGATAACTGTAACAACAGCTAAAAAATTCTTTCATCGTGATGTTTTTGTTGTTGTTGTTGTTGTTTTTTAGAAAAAATTGTTTATGTAGACAAGAGAATCACCCTTGGTAAGCTGAAGGAAATTCTCAAGAGTGATGTAGGATGTTCACCCGAATTTTTTAGGGTGAGTAATATTTAATAATTAAAGATGTTCTAATCCCTCTTTAATGTGGCAAGAATATATTTGCTCGGGGATGACTGTTAGAGGTGCACTGTGAAAATTTCAGGACAATAAACATTTTTATTTTGTCGATCATCAGCAAAGATTTGCCATGTTGCAATTTTTATACCTGGTTGGTTGAAACATTAACATTAGATTATGCATTAAGACTGTATAATTTTTACATGTAGGTTTACAGAGTGTATGGAAACAACCAAGAAATTGAGTACAGCAAATTATCTGACCCTTTAACAAGTTTCAATGATGACTCCAAGGTGGGTGCGAAGGTTATGCTCGAGACTAGATGAGTATCCTTAACAAAGACAAGCCAAACCTAGACACAACACGCTAACTGTAACTTGTTTTGCATTTCTATACCTTGAAAGTTCTTAAAAGTTCTTGAATTTGAAAATCAAAATTCAAGACCTTTTAAGCCCATGGCCTTATGCATCCCATCCCATGGCACAACGAGGACTGAAAAGTACAATTATTGTGTCCTGGTAGAGTATGAACCCTGTATATGCTGTACAGTGCAAATAACTACAACAAAGTTTGGTTTCAATAAGGAGGCTTTGTTTAGGTTGTGAAAGTTCTTGACAATCTTCAACTGGTTATTTCCTTCACACTTGTCAGATAAAAAAAGTACATATTTAGCCAGTTATTATAAGTACAGTCAAACCTCCTGTAACTGCTAACAGGAGGTGGTTGCTTCTGAGAGCTTAGATCATCTTGGGTCNTTATGCATCCCATCCCATGGCACAACGAGGACTGAAAAGTACAATTATTGTGTCCAGGTAGAGTATGAACCCTGTGTATGCTGTACAGTGCAAATAACTACAACAAAGTTTGGTTTCAATGAGGAAGCTTTGTTTAGGTTGCAAAAGTTCTTGACAATCTTCAACTGGTTATTTCCTTCACACTTGTCAGATGAAAAAAGTATATATTTAGCCAATTACTATTAGTACAGTCAAACCTCCTGTAACTGCTAACGGGAGGTGGTTGCTTCTGAGAGCTTGGATCATCTTGGGTAAAAATTGTGCTCATTAGAATTATGGTAACTGCAGAGACTTGCCCCATGTTTTAAATGTTTTATTCATGTGAAAAATTGATTTCGAGAAAAAATCCGGTACTTCCCATTGAGAAATTTCCATCTCTTGTGCTTTCTAGAAATGTGATAATGTTACAACACCATATTATCCAATTTCTGCTCCATTATCTCTCAAGTGGTCGCTTACAGGAGGCTAAAAACAAATGAAATTTTCAAACTTTTAGCTCTGAAACTGGTTGCAGTCGCTTACGAGAGGTGGTCGCTTACAAAACTAGAGGTTCCAAATATACGGATTTGACTTGGAAACTTTTGGTATTTTGGAAACCTGGTCACTGAGTAGAGGTGGTCACTTATGAGAGGTGGTCATAACCTGAGGTTCGACTGTATTTGTCTTCAATAGCTACATTATATTGCGCGTGACATTTCTTTGAAAATATTAGTATATTTATCATTGTTTGTACTGTTAAACATGATGAAACCTAGTGGTCCTAGCCACAAACCATTTTGCCAGACTGCCACTAGCTGGCTCTTTCTTTCNGTTCCAAATATACGGATTTGACTTGGAAACTTTTGGTATTTTGGAAACCTGGTCACTGAGTAGAGGTGGTCACTTATGAGAGGTGGTCACAACCTGAGGTTCAACTGTATTTGTCTTCAGTAGCTACATTATATTGCCCGTGACATTTCTTTGAAAATATTAGTATATTTATCATTTGTTTGTACAGTTAAACATGATGAAATCTAGTGGTCCTAGCCACAAACCATTTTGCCAGACTGCCACTAGCTGGCTCTTTCTTTCGTTCTTGGACATTTGTAGTTCAACTCCTGGACCAGTCATCCACCTGGCCAGTGAGAATTCTTGACCAGTTAGAAAGGTTTATTTAATATTTGTTTTGCCCATTTGAATGACATGCCAGAAAAGTAGTTGTTCTATTGTAAGAGCAGTTCCTTATGAGCTTGGCATATATTCAAATAATGTTCCTCATTACTACAGTTATTGTGAAATGTTGTATTTACACCTTGCCAGGTGAGAGTGAAGTACAGTCGTGCTCTCAAGAAAGGGGAACATCAACTGAAAATATTCTTGCTGAATCGCACTGAAAAGGAGGTGAGGTTTGCTTGAAGATTGATTTCTGTTACTGATGTCTTGTTTTCTTCCCCAGACTTTCTCAAACAGTTGCTCCTCCCAGCTTGATTCACTATAAGGAAAATGATAGCTGCCTCTTGGCTACTGAATTTGAACATATTCTCAAGTTTCACTTGTTTGTTTTATTTTTGCAATTTACAAATATATTTACAAAGAATTAATGTGTAAGGCAAGGAAGCCCAGGGAAGCCAATAAGGCTTACATGAAGGATTACCTTAAAGATACCTAAGACTTAGCGGAAGAATAAAAATGCTGTCATCGGCACTGGGTTATTATATGGTTAATGTACTGTATAGTGAGAGTTTGCAGGAGGGAGAAATGGCAAGACTTTTTTTTATGAATGAAACTCACTTCTTCCAGCCATTCAAGTACTTTTGTGACTGGATTGTGACTGATGGTATGACAGTGAGGCAATGCAAAGAGCTCCTGCAACCAGAAATCTGTCAAAGATGTGGTATTGATGTACCAGTGGAAAAGTATGTTCTATTTCGTAAATATATCTAAGATATAAACTATTAATAGATAAACTGGGGTAAAAGTGAAGTACAGTTCCCAAAAGATATTGTTGTTTATCTGTCGGCCAACTGTTGGGCTTCTGTTGGCTGTAATCAGCGGAACATTCGGCCCACATTCGGCCCATGCTTTTTGTTATGTTTCAGACTAAAGTGTTGGCTGACTGTCAGCAATGTTCAGTACGTCCAAGAATTAGGGAGAAAATCAGAATCTTCAGTAGGATTTGAACTTGTGACCTTCCAGGTGCTCCATCCACTGAGCTGTGGAGAGACTCTCATTGAGTTAGGCCATTTACTAGGTTAATAAATAATGTGACATGTGTCCTGTATATTGCTATGATCAGCAATGGCATACAATTTTTATGTGTAATAAATCTAATCCCATTGTAACTTGGGACTCGGGTAATTTTTTGTCCCATGATCATGACATGATAAATCTTTTATCTTTCTTGTAAAGCTTAGTATTTGTTTACAGTATCACCAATGCAAATGAACCAAAACATTGTCACTTAACCT